TTTTTTTTTTTTTTTTTTTCGATAGGTGACTCGAATATTTTATTGCTTCGCGAGTGACAGAATAATAATTTACTTCGTGATCGCTTGGTTTTCGAATTTTCCCATTTTGTTGAATCGCTAAATTTCAGTAATCTCGCGCGATTTATCAGAGTAATCTAAACCTAACAATACTGTTTATTATTTTTAAAAAATATAACTGTTTAAAAAGTTCATAACTGTATCAATAATGATAACAGAAAATCGTCGATAGTTCAAATTCATATAACTTTAAAAGAAGCTCATAATAACGATCCAGTTCATGTCATTTTAAATCGTCAAATTTTTATTTTCACAGTCGTGAGTTCGCTTATTTTCTTCTTTTTTAAGATTACTTTCGAGAATACTTTTTCCTCGGAACAAACGCATGTAAAAAAAAAATTAAAAAAACATTCTTCGTCACTGAATTCACTGTGGTCTTAAAGATTGAAACTTTCTCCTTACAACGGTCCCTTAAAACTCGTTGTACGATTTTTTTGGAACATAAGGATTAAATGACAAAATGTTAGGATTTCTTGAATTTTTGTTGTTCAATCCTTAACGTACAAGAAAATGGTAAAAGAAAATCGTACAACAAATTCTTTGTAAAAGGGAGAGACTTTGATCTTCGAAATGACGGTGGATCTAGTTGCGAAAAAAAGTTGTTGAATGTTTGTATTGTTGCGTTTGAGTTTTTACAGTTTTCGAGAAAAATTGCAAATGTATAGTCATCTTCGAAGAAAAAAAAAAAAAAAAGAAATTCACGACTGTCAAATTTGAAGCTTCACCCTTTAAAACGAAACCAATTGGATCGTATACGATCTTCTTTCACAAAGTTGTAGCAGTTGAAATTATCGGCAATTTTTCATTTTTATGCTCTTCACTTCTTCCAGTTGACGTTCATATATTTTATATTCAAGTACTTCGAATCAATCTGTTGTAAATCTGTATTACCTACAAATCCGCCAATGGAATGACAAATCGAACAGAAGCCAACTATTATTCCTTCATCAGAATAAAAGAAAAAAAAAAAAAAAAAAAAAAGAAGCAATTCGTCCACGCGACAATCAAGTCGATCGAGTTACTTGACGTGTTCGTTATACCCCTCTCTCTCTCTTTTTCACTCGTTGGTCCAGGCATTCGACAATCAAGCGAATCATCCGGAATTTTCTCCACGTTCGCGGGACTGCGGCCGAGAGTAGACAAATTGGCTGGCGACTGTGACGAGAAGAGAAACGGTACGCGGTGCCAAAGGTTCTCGGCGAGTAATTTGCGTGGCCTGTTGTGTCAGGGAACGAGGCCTAAAATCCCGAGTCCAGGCACGTCCGTGGGCTCCATGGCTAGGTTTCGCGAAACGAAGGAAGTTGCAGGAGAGCCAGCCGAGCTTGAGCAAGGCAACTGGGGCGTTTTATCATCTCGCTGCGACACCGGTGCCCGAGATGCGAACCGGGTCGCGGAAACAATGTCCACGCTTATCGGCGAGCATCACGCTGACGATAGTTACGGAGAAGTTCGGTGTGCTGGCTTCCTACACACACCCCTTTC